GGGTTATTATTCTTTTTTTCATAAGTGGGGATCTACCTTTTGCATAGGTTTTCTGAGCATTAACTCCGACCTTTTCGCCTGCGTCTTCTTTACGCCTTAGAGCGCTACAATTACTTAAAAGTCCTTATTCAATCTTTAAATTAACCTAGGCTCATCCACCACTAAAATTGTCCGTATATATTTGTTTTAATTTGTTAACTGCTGTTTTTACGGGTTTAGAGTACATGAAAAGCTTATGCTCAAGAACCACCTTATATTTGGAAATAACGATACAAAACGACTGCAACAAGGGCTTGCCAAAGCTGCAAAACGTTGGGTGTTTTGCTATGTTAACATTTTTAGGAGCTATTCAAGGACGTTAGTATTGTTATCTGTTGAAAAGATATGCTAAAAAAACACTCACTACCAGAGCACCTTTTTCTCTCAGTTAAAAAGGTCGTCACATGAGTTAACGTTCTCTATTTATCCAAGAAAAAAGCTTTTTTGTCTTTCTGATATCGGAGTTCAAAAACATCGACTTTCATTCTAGAAAGGATGAGCAGTACGTCAAAGTTTTGAGAATTGAAAAGAGGGGAGCGGGGACGGCTGCTCGGTTTAGCATCAAGTTACACCAATTTGTACCATTATATTGAAAAAAAATGGTAGATTTGGACATCTAGGGCGTGCCCTTCCTCTGATTTCGCCCTTGTCCCGTCTATACATATACTGCTTATGTTTCTTTGTATATGCCCTGGATAGATGTGAGCGGTAATAGTAGTTGAGGTTAATAAGTTACCTTTTATATATTTTTTCAAGCTCTACTTGAAAGTACAGTCAACTTAATGAGCTGTGCTGTTAATCAGGTGGAATTCATTCAATGCGTCGTAGCGTTATCATTATAAAATTCTTTGAAGTTGATTATGCGCACCAAAGAACAGTAACAATGGCAATAATTCGAATAACAAGAAATTCATTTTAGATTACGTTTAAATATATCCTGCTTTACTCGAAACTGCCAGCAACTCGATAATGCATACATAAAATGTTTTGAGATGTTTGAATATATGTTTTTAACCGATCCAATAAAACCTCACCCCTTCGCGGAACATTAAAATAAAAGTGACTATATGTGAAAATTTGTCGATTGGAGATATCAGAGCTAAGGTGCTGAAATTAATACTTCGTTTTGTACAGGGTGTCCGGCTATAAACTGAGCCCCCTCTAACTTTGTTCTAGAAGAGAATGATGCATATAAAGGTTATAGGGTCTAATATGAAATTTTCCATTTAATATTGTTTGTCTCATAAAAGTGCTATCGAATAAAGTTTTTTTTTTATGGAACACCCTATATATTTTCAGGCTAAATCATAATCCATTTTTTTTTCTGATTCAAAATATTACAGGCTTATTTTTAAACACCATTCAAGTACTAAAGTAATGAAAATGATGAAAAATGACGATTATAGCATAAAATACATAAGCTCTGAAATATCTGCTGCAAACATTCCATGGATGAGGAAAAATTAAAATCTGAGTTATTTTATAGCCGGAAAAACCATCTTATAGACCCTGATCATTTGTACGAGCTTGATATTGTCACTTCTGCTATTCTGACTGAGAATCCACACAAACATGTATAGCCAGCCTCAGAATGAAGTTATTCCACTCTTTAATTGGACCAGTTAGTCACATCCTGTTTTCAGCGGTGTCGATTATAACTGCGTGTGTGATATTCGCACTGCTCAGGTTAAATGATGTAAGGTTGCACTATTAATTGGTACGATGATGGCAATGTTATTTTCACACGATATTATTAGATACGCTTGGTCATAAATCAAAAGTGTCATAATTTGAAGCAAGCTGCCATGGCGGCCGAAACGTCAGTAGAATAATCACTCCATCATTTGTGATTTATTTCTTTAGGACGTTCAAAGACATCACGGATTATTAGCTATACTATAGATAACACTCTCTCCTATGATTCCTGGTGTCACCCGTAACAGAGCCATCTAACGATTGCGCCGATCACTAATTCATAACAAACGAAACCATAACGATTGTTCACAGTGACAGTGATCAGTGACACTTCCCCCAACTGTTATCCTCGAGTTGAACTATATTCATAAGCAAATGTATACAGGGTGCTGTTAATTACGCTCACTTTAAAAATAAGTATTCGATATAGAAACGGGTCATTTAAACGTGCAATTTTCATCAACCTTTAGTCTGTAAAACAACAAACAATATTCAGTGCTTTTCTTTAATGCCCCCAACCCCTTTGATTTTTTGAACGGATGAATTCAAAAAATTAAAACTTGAGGTAATGAAATTGATGCGTGGATACCATATTTTAGAGTAAAATTGACAGATGCTGGGCGCCATCTTGGAAAAAAAATTGGAAAATATGGAAACGGGGGTCTTGTGGCACATCATTTTGAGGCTCCTGTCGAGTACTTTATAACCCTAGAATATAAAGTCAGTACCTTTACCTACTACAAAATGGTACATTTAATAATTACTTGAACACAAACCCTCTAACATGCATATCTCTACAAATAATTGTAATTCTCTGCCGTATCCACAGCAACAGCGATAAAAACTTGTTTTGTTATTTTTTGTTGACAGTGACAAGAATATCAGTACGAAAACAAACATCATTGTACAGTTCTTGTTTACATTCAGAGGGATCGGCAAACATCTCTTAGGGCAATATCCATATCGTCAGTCGTTTCTACAATTATTCGGTCTCCGCACGTACCGGTGTACCTAACATTTTACAAATTTTACAGGAGAGCTAGGAAACGAACATCAGCAATGAATTATATTGAAAATAACATACTGATTTTTTAGTCTGCTTGTTGCTGTTTTTTTTTTGTTAGACTAAAATTATGTAGAACTTTGTTTTGGGATGGTTTAATTTTGTAAAAGTAAAATGAGTTTTAAAAAAAATATTTTTTGTGCATTTACGCCGCTTCGTGACGACTCTTGTTCCTTCTTTGTGTAGTTACGCCAACAATTCAAATATGCACATGGGTATCAAATTATTGAAAATATACGTACTGTTTTAAAAATTAAAATTGTTTTATTCTTTACATAATATTACAAGTACAAACAAAAAATAAATCCTAGAATAAGTTTAACCTGAATTCAACTTTTCAATCACTTGTTTTACTGTGATCTTGCTGTTAGCTATCAAAACACGTTACTCAATGTTTTGCTTGTACAAATGACAGTTAATATTGACGAGGATTAACTAGGGATTTGTAGTTAAAGCAACATGGGTGACATGAGACTTAAAAATCGAATGTCATAAAATACACAGAGCACGAAGCTTGAGTCCATAGATGCGACGTTGACACAACAACTGGGTTAATTAACCGAAACCTGAAAGTCAACATACGAAGGTTTCAGTAAGAAATTTCTTGCTATCGAGTCTGACAGTTTGTCGGTCTGACTGTATCTTTTTGTTACCATATAATGCCAGCAACTGTTAGCTTACATGCACTCAATAATGGCCTTTCATGAATTAACATTGATTTGGTCTTATAGAGCTCAAGGATATCAAAATGAAAAAGGCTAATAGAGGAGGTAGAAAAAACAAAAGAAAAAAACTAATGAGGTGAAAAATATGCCTATTTTCAACAGAGCTATGAAGAGGGAAGATTGGAAAAATATCACCGGGTCGAAGTAGCCAGGCAATCAGCTAATGGATCTCAGAATTGATATGAATAACAAACAAACAGAATGTGTGCTTTTTCATGGATATGTGAACTCGATTGATAGGACCCGTTACGGGCGGGTATTTTTTCATTCTTTTACTACCACTAGCAGTATATAACATTCCAGCTGGTCTTTAAGTTTACTCGACGTGATGGATAGTTGGGGGTGCGCTTTTGATAATGCATCTCTCCTGTACCCTACAATGAGTAGGGATTTAGTTTCCTCATTGTCAGAACAGAGTAGATACCTGAATCCTCCAATATTTTTGGCTATTTCCTGAAATAGAGGTGTGGTATGGATTGTATGAATGCGAAGAGTAAACAATTTAAAGCAAGTAAATTAATAGTTTAGAATTCGAAAGGCTTGTCTTTTTAATATTCGTGCCCCGTCTAAATGATTATGAGCTTGAAAGCATGAAAACACTTTTGGGTTCTTTGATATATTTTTGTTTTCCATTAATTATCACCATGTCTAACCTATTTAACAGTAATAAGTGCAATGGGAATATAAGTGATATAATTATCACACGTATCCATAAAATCTGTTACGTTAGGAAAGAAACTTTTCTTCATAAAGCTTTATTAGGCAAAAAAAACAGCACAAGCTGATAGTAAAGAGGTTTCAGTGCAACAAAAATAACGAATCATTAAGCCATCCGTTACGTATTTTTGAAAGCGAATGACAACATGAAGCGCACACCAAGATTTCGGAAGTATGTAAAATTTTTTCATTGAAAAGCATCGGTAACATTTGTGTTATGATTACTACAAAACCAATCAAACTAGAATACAAAGCTTCCTTCCCACACCATACACCATACGTGTAACAAAAATCTAACCAATAATATTTTTAATAAAACTTTTCCGTCTTTACAAATTTTGGCAACATCAATGAAAATAAGTAAAACGTAACCTTACCAAATAAGCTTTTCCTTATTCTCCATAAATACCGGACCTTCTTATTTCCATAACGGAGAACGTCTCGCTACCTACTGCGCAAGATCAGAATAACCAAAATCATAACGGGGCAACAAAATAAGAGCACTAAAAACCCTCTAATGGACTTCAAAACAAAGCAATAACTGAAACCCCATCCGATAAACGAGTTCAGCTTCTGTTGCTAACAGCTGTTATCAATATTTTCCCAGGTAGCGTAACCCACAGAAGACATAACCCGGACAAAATTAATTCCAAGATATTTACACCGCACTGACGTAATGAAATTTCTTGCACCAATTTTTCTTAATTGACCGCGTCTTCGGATGCAAATCTCCTGGTCGGCGCGTACCGACCAGTGCTGCCCGCGCTTTCATCCTATTAGCATCTCGCGAGTGCCGGCGTGAGTGACAGATGACAGGTGACTCGTCGATAAGTGATAATCGCACGGCCAGTCCCGTGGCCATGGACAAGGAGATGTACGGTGTCGTGAACCGGAGCAGTCCGCCGCATAGGAGGTCGCATCCTGGGTCAAGGATTATGAAGTACAGTCCTGGACCGGCTCACCCAGGACACTATGGCCCACATTATCGATACAGGAGTAGGCAGTGAGTTACTTTTTAGGAGTAAACATTCAGCACGAGGAAAGAAACGCTAGAATACGCTGAAGAAGTATAGCTAGTACAGCGCCCCACTATTTGACCGCAGCAGAAACATAGTCGGGCCATCTTAAGACCAGTGGCGTAGCTTGCTCCTGATGCCCCATATCAAAATTTATAGGGGTGCCCAACCCAACAAAATAAACAGAAACGCCTTGTATTGAATAATATGAATTTACACGTATTGAACATGGACGTCCACAGGAAGCTTTCTCAGTCAAAAAGGAGAAGATGGTCGGCAACAGATAAGTTTCTGTAAAAGTGTATGTACCTCAAAACTTTTTGAAGAGAGAGGGGTAGCAGAGTTTTTCGGGATTAGATGAGGGGGGTGTGTTACTGAGATTGCGAAAATTTTAGAAAATTCAGATAAATGTTTTTGCGTTATCTACAACACGTAAATCCATGTGGGGGTAATGCTAATTAATTTTGAAAAACGTTCACTAAAAATTAAAATAGCTTTCATATCGTCCCAAAATTTTCCTTTGTGATGCTTTACAACTACACACACGGCCTATAATCATAAACCAAAACAGAAGAAAGCAACATAACACGTCGTACGCTAGGGCTAGCGTGGCGTGCCTTTGAATTGGCAAAGTCGGGTCCTGCCGTATACAAAGAGACAACGCATTAACAGTGGCGCACAGTGTGTGTTGCTACTCTCTTCAGTTTCGGTACTAGGCTATAGAGACTTCACTTTTCTCTATAAGCGAATAGTGAAAAAACTGTCTCTTCCAAGTTCAAACGCAAAAATTTCGCGCCCCTTTCTAGCGCGACGTAATGAATTTTTCTACTACTGGTCAGTACTAACATTCACTGCAATACTGAGTAGTAGCTTTTCTGTCCTTAGGTGAATAACAAACAGAAATAGCGTCAGGGGCACACAGAATCTGGAACGTTGCCTTCGTCCCTACTGACCGCGTGTCGCGAGAATATTTCTCTAAATAATTAAAATTACCGGGGCGTTGAAAGCGTAGGAATTTACAGCTGCCAAAAAATGAGATATATCCTTTCCCACCCCCTACAACCACCAACCCCAATTCTTAACCCTTGCAATAAAAATTCTAAAAATGAAAAAACTACAAAGCTTTTTATCGTGATGTACATGTAATATATATGTATGTATGTAAATATTGAACGAAAATATCACTAAATGTAGGTATAAATTAAAACTCAGAAATAATCAAAAAGCTAGGAAAACATGGATAACTAGCGCTTTGGTGAACTCTGTAAATAAGAAAAACAAACTATATCGTGAAATGATAAAAAACCCAACGGAAATAAATATAAAAAGATTTAAGGATTACAGAAACTTATTAAATAACCTATTAAAAACAAGAAAAAAGGAATACTACGACAGCAAAATCAAGAAAACCAATAATAGTAGTAAGATGTTATGGGATTGTGTAAATGAGATTTTCGGTAAAAGGAATAAAGGCAGAAATAGATAAGATAAAAATCGAAAGTGGGGAAGAAATATCCAATAAAAATGATATTGCTCAGAAGTTTTTGGAACACTTCACAAGCATTGGTGAAAAACTGGCAGAGAAGATACCACGCACTGCTCCTATCAAACAAGTAAATAAGCTTATCAACTCAATTTATTTAGACGATACGGATGAAAACGAAGTGAGGGAGACTATATTAAGCTTGAAAAATGGCAAGGCTCCTGGAAGCGATAACATAAAAGCTGAAACTCTGAAAAAAATACGATATTATATATGCAAGCCTTTAAAATATATAATAAATGAATGTTTTCGTACAGGAGTATTTCCCGATATTTTAAAGTTAGCCACAATAACACCTATCTACAAAAAAGGTAGCAAACTTGATATAGAAAATTATAGACCAATATCCCTGATTTCGAGTATCGCCAAAGTCGTAGAAAAAATAATCAAGTCAAGGTTACTAAAGTTTTTCAATAGGTATAACGTGTTACATAAAAATCAATTTGGATTTAAAGAAGGCATATCAACGCAAGATGCAATAGCTACACTATCCAAAAAACTGTACAGACTAGTTAACGATAAGATCCCTGCCATTTGCATATTTATAGACTTAACCAAAGCTTTCGACACCATTAGTCATGACAAGCTGTTGGAAATACTCGAGCTTAGCGGTATAAGGGGAACTACTTTCGACTTAATGTCGAGCTACCTAAATAACAGAAAGCAGTGTGTCAAAATAGATAACGTGACCAGTCATTATAAAGACGTATGCTATGGGATCCCACAAGGAACTGTTCTTGGGCCAATATTATTTAATATATATATATTAATGATTTGTTCTCAATGGATTCGGGAGGTACAGTGTTAGGATTCGCGGACGATACTGTCATAATTTATGAAGACTCAAGTTGGCCCGCACTTAAAAATAAAATCGAAAATAAGCTCACCAACGTACTAGCATATTTCAACACTAAGCTACTCACAGTTAACTCTGAGAAAACAAGTTTTGTACCTTTCGCATCCTATAGAAACCATATGCCACAATATAACGAAATAAATGTCAGAATAGGAAACTATACGACAACCATTAAACGTCAAAGCAGCACTAAATATCTGGGAATATATATTGATCAAAATCTCAGATGGGATGTTCAAATCGAATATGTGACAAAGAAAATAAGATGCCTCATTCCAAAATTCAAATGTCTTAGAAACATCCTTAATACAGATTGCATGAGAATCTTATACTTCGCACTTGTGCAGTCACATCTTTGCTATGGAATACTTGGCTGGGGAGGAGCTGGCTTCACTTACATAAAGAACTTGGAGATTGCCCAAAAATAGTTATTAAAAATTCTTTATAGCAAGAGCAAAACTCATCCATCTGATGAGCTATACCATGAGTCTGGAATTATGGACATTAGGCAAACCTTTATTTATAATTGCATGGTATACTACTTTAAAAATAAATCATTTCATGAGGAAATCGCTCACAAATATGACACTCGCCAGGAAGTTGCTAGGCACATAATGGTACCTAGGCCGGAAAAGTCATTATTGCAACGCTCCTGGATTTATCTCTGCCCCAAATTGTACAACGAAATGCCTGCTGATTATAAGTTAATACGAAACATTGCTTTATTCAAGAAAAAAATCTCAGTCTGGGTGAAACGTATATCCAGGAGCATAATACATGATTATATAGAAGGCAAAACACTATATATGTCACTCTCACAACCCAAATGAAGTCACCGTTTTTAGAATAATTGCTCCATTCTATTAATTTATTATTTTATCATATTTTATTGTACGTTATTATATTTTATTAGATTTTATTATGTTTTATTGTAGTCATTTATATGCTTATACCGTATCTCATGTATGATGGGCATTTAATTTTATTCTATTCTATGCTTGATATATCCTTGTCTTTATTGCTCACAACACAAATGCATCTACCAGTTTTGTAATGTCATTTTAGTTTTTATTGTCCTTTATCTTAGATGTACTCTTTTTTAGATTAGCCTTTTGATTTATGTTATTTATTATTGAATTTAGTTAAAGTGCCACAATGTCAGTTCAAGGTTTTCGCATTTCTGCCAGTGATCGTGTAACACCAAATTATGTCAGTGCGTGCGTAAGAAGTGCATAGTGCATTAGCAAGTACTTGATAGACTTTATTTATATCTGCGGATAGACAACTGACAATAATGGGATGGCCACACACAAGATTTTTCTTTCGTGGCATTACTTTTATTTGTCATTGATACTCCTTTGTGGCAACAGTCTTTGAAAATTTATATTTGCATAATTGAATTTGACAAATAAATTATTATTATTATTATTATGTATATATGCAAGCAGTAGTCATTGCCATTACCAGTTGGGCAAGAAATACAATTAATTATTAATTGGGAAATTGGCAAACTTTAGGCTTACTGAACTCTTTTGACGGCGATCTCGAGCTTTCGGCACGCTATGGTCCCATCATCAGGAGCTGAAACACAAATATAAAGCTAGCATCCAATTCAGAAAGGATTTAAATTTTTCAGACAACTTACTCGTCGCTGAGGTTGCAGCCAAATGGTGTTTTAAAACGAAAGCACTTGTTGCAAATGTAAACCGAAAGGACGGATACATTGGGTTTGTTGGTAACGACGGAAATCATAGCTATATCAATACACCCGAACAAATTGAAAATTGTCGAACATTTTCAAGTTCTTAAAAACTAGTACTGCATTTTGGACGAAAAACAGCAGAGTCCCTAACCTTGTACGTCTGTTTCACGTGGAGGCAAAGAGCGAACCGTAAGAGTGATCCGTCGACAGATGACAGATGACCGGAATGAGGAAGTGTAGAAAGAATTGCCAAATCTCAGGTATAGTGTATACGAGAGACGCTCGGAAAAACTTTTCATATTTCCCAAATTACTGGATTAGTTTTGTTTTGGAAAAGTGTAATTAATGTGAGTGTAAGATGGTAATACACACTTAAAAAGATGGGTTGTATGAAGATATATTAATATTTATTATTGCTATGAGACATTGAAAACATTGCTTCATTTAACAGGACATATAATGGATATCACATACATACATTATTATCCCATTTTTTTAAGTCTTCGTGATCACCTGTAGGCGTGGGAAGTGAAAAACACTCACGTAAAAAACTCATATAAAAATGTAACCCTAACTTCAATATGCCAGTTTTAATGCTAGCAAATTAAAACAAAATATGCCAAATCTGCTTTCTACTACATTCATTTGGGTTTGGCAGGGATCTTTTCTGCTTTACTTCATTGGTAACTTTTCGTTTTAAAGGATATCTAGGTCGTCTTCTGCAGTTTGATGTATTTCTTTTAGTTTTAAAGGTGCTGTTTTAAAAACTGCTGGAGTTTCTCACAGTAGATCTTCAGATGTGAAGATGTTTTCGCCTACAAGCACCCCTAGCAACTTTCAGGTTCGAGTATTATATGTTTCTTTGTTGGTAGTCCCGCTTTGATTA